TTAAAAACCATGAAGATTTTTTGTATAAATTAGGTCTAAAGTTCATTACTGTAACAGTATTGACACGATCATATTCATAATCAATCGAAGTAGTTGATCTCGACCATTGACTTTTGGTGAGAAAAAATTCATCAAAAGCAAATAGTAAAGTATATAGCGTTCCAAAACTGCTTATACCAGTTGAAATCCAATCACATCGAACAAACCATTAATGTTCTTCAAACCAAAAAGAAGTCTGAAATGAATTGAAAAGTTCATCAAGTTGATCTTCGATATTTCTTGGAAGACAAAATTTAAAATCCATTTTCAATTGAAAGATTTTTATTTTAGGTAAATAATTTATAAGTATTTGTTCCCAGTCATATCCAGTTAAAAAAAATCTTCTGTGTCTTAACTGTGATGCATTTCGAAAGGAAAGTTTAAATGAAATGAATGATGAAGAAGTAATATGCAATCGTTTGCATTCCAAATAATAATGAACAGTTCCATTAAATTGTCGAAGAGAAGGTGTACATTCAAAATAAATTAGATAAATCATTCAAATCAAATTTTAAATTCTCAAGAAAAAGAGTTTCAATAGATAATGCAATCGGTGCATCATTAGTATATTTCAATCTATATGAAAATTGATGATTGATTTGGCAATATGTATGTTTTGGTAACTTCCAGATATCTTCAATTAAATAAGAAAATTTATCTTGATCTTTAAAATCACAATTTATAATGGAAAGGCGTGTGAAATAGGGAAGATATCGACATTCCAATATAATTCGATTTACGATTCCAAGAGAATCGATACAATCCAGTGAAACAGATCGTAAACAAGAGAATTGATGCAAAGTGAAACGATAAGAAAGAATTAATTCAGGTGAATTTAATATTTCACCATTATTTGATAGCTGTAATGAAATCACTCAATCGAGAATCAATGAAAGATGTTGTTGCCATATAGTATGGAATACACATATAGATACAAATCGAAAATCGAGATGGTAGATTCGATAATGAAGTTTATCAAAGCGAGAATTCAGACCATAAAATGCACGTAAAAGATAAGCAAAATCGACGAGTTCAAATAATTCAAGTAATAGCTCGTTGGCCAATTCTTGAAACTTCATCTTTTTACAGAACAACAAAAAGAATACAGCTATTTCGTTTTGATAGCACTATTGAGTGCACCATTCATTTGTTGATAGTTTTTATGAAGAGACCGAAAACATTTTTTTAAATAATTTATATAATTTTCAAAATTTTATATAGATGTTTATTCTTGTTCGGTTTTGATATTTCTGATAATAAAATATCTATTGAAGTCAACTATGATGAAGTCAAATAGTTTTCAACAGGTATTGCGGCAGATAACAAAAACAAGAAATTCAATGAATAAAGATAATACAGTCATTTTAAAATCCATTCCTTTTTTTCACATAAAGACAACACCATCCATCGAAAACTGAAATTCTCATCATAAATAGAGCACATGAAATAAGGGAACATGTTTAAGAAGATCCTTCTTTTCAGCAGAACTGCACATTGCGACCTCCATCAAATGTCATCTGATTGAACGGGAAATTTTTTGAAAACACCCTAGACTAGATTTCAGAGATAATCTTAACTTTTTTAAAATTCTTTTGCTTTTATAAAACAAACCGGTTGACACCAAAAAATCCAAAGTCAAGATTTAATCTTTCAAGACCTATAAATTTGTATCAGCAGATCGAAAACGAAAACGATCAATTTCATTTCTGGAAAATAGTTTTAGACATCGATAGCATAAATTTCAACTCAAATAGTAGATAAAAAACGTCTATAAGAGTGGGAACATAATTACTTGAGACAAAACTGCTGCTGTGTCTGATTTTTGAGAGAAATAGTTTGATTCAATTAGATACAGCATTTGTTTTGTTATGATGAAAATAGAAAATAAGATAAAATAATTGTGCTGAAAAACGTATGTTTCATTTATTTACAAAGCTTCCGTTATGCGGAAAAAACTCTTTCAATAAATGGAAAATGGATATTGTTTACTCTAAAAACTGATAAAACAACATCATTTATAATAATGAAAAGTGTTGGGACAATTTCCATGGAATTTTTTTTTCGTAGGCATTTATATTAACTCTCAAATGTTTGTGCTTTCTATACGAACATTCTTCATGATAAAAATTTGATATTTTAATTAAAACTCCATTCCACCTTTAATCACCTCGATTTTGACTTTAACTTATACTTTTTCAAATACAGCTCAGATAATTGATACTTTTCATCAAGAAAATCATAAGAAAAAAAAAGAGGAAACAATGCACTTCGTACAGCACTGAAACGGGCAATTACACGTACGTGTAAAATTAAACAAATTTGTTTGTGCTTTCCAGTCATTACCTTGAAATATTACTATTCTTCATTTGAAATAAAAAGCTAATATTTCTTCGATAAGAAATTTATTATACATTAAATTACTTAGTTTGATGAAACCTTGTCAGCTTAAATTTGAAAGTTGTTCCAGAATACTCATATTTTGAGATCAAAGTAAAACAACATATTTCTCCAAAAATAATCTACATTGCTCTATGGGATTACTTTTAACAATGAAATTCTCTTTCTCATTTCCTCTTTACTTGACATATTGCTATAAAAGTGAGAACATAGTCTAAGTTAAAGAATAAAACCAGTTGATGAAACGCATTACGTTCGAATACGATTGATTAAACATACATATGTCTTCACAATCTTCATCCACCGATGTCATCACAACACTAGAATCAATAGCAACATATTTATATCGATTTGGTGGTCTCATTTTGGTTGTCTTTGGTAGTATAGGTTGTATACTCAACATAATGGTATTTTCTCAAAAATCTTTACGCAAAAATCCATGTGCTACCTACTTGGTAGTTGAAAATATTTTTAATTTGCTATTTATTAACTCATTACTCTTATCTATAACATTAGAAAGTGGTTATAATATTTATTTTACTTCAAAGAATATTGTTCTCTGTCATTTATGTTATTATACATCATTATTTTCCAATGTTTTAAGTTCATATTGCTTAATCTGTGCTTCAATTGATCGAGTTTTTGTTACTTCACCAAATGCTTCTACTCGACAACGAAGTACTTTACACTTCAGTTATTTCTGTATTATTGGTGGAACAATATTCTGGATGTTATTTCATAGTCATTCATTAGTCTTTACAAATATTACACAAATTGGCGAAAACATTTATATGTGCTTTTATCAAGTAGGATTTTATCTGACGTTCATTAGTTTTTATTCGATTATCAAAGAAAGTTCATCTACTTTGTTATTATTAATATGTGGAATATGGGCTGTGAAAAATATTCGACGTTTACGTCGTGTTGCACTTCCGACTGCTTCATCATATAGTGGAGTTGGAAGAGTCACTGGTTCACATATTATTCATTCAAAAGATCGACGATTTGTTTGGATGGTTCTTATAGATACTCTTCTCTATGCTATTTTCTGTTCTATGGCAGCAATCTTTTTAACTCATCAACAAATTACACAATATCAACAAAAATCTATTGAACAATTACAATTAGACATCTTTCTTAAACAAATTACTGTTTTTTGCCTTCATATTCCATTCGGTGTTAGCTGTTATACCAATTTATTGGTATCAAAAGCTTATCGAAATGCAATGAAAAATGTCTTTTCATGGAACTGAATTTTTCTGTTGTCACTGAGTATTTATCAAACACTTTCGAAATTTTTCTATTATTTGAATATTGTATTGTCAAGTATCTTGTTTTTACTCAATGATTTATTGTAAATAAAAAGCTTGTTAGCGCAGCTCCTTTGGGACGGAAATGTGGAACTCACATATACTCTCTAGACTCATTCAACTGATACAAGATGCGTAAACTGAAAAATCTCTCTTAGACTATAGTTGTTTTGCAGGAAAATCAATCGCAAGAGTAAGAATCTCTCTAATTTCGAACAGAATGTTTTTTAAACTTTTTTCTATGGGCGCCCTATTTTTTATTTGCATTGTTGCTATTCGCTCATTATTTTTTTATTTTTTTTAATTCGTTTTTCCTAATTTATCATTCTTATTATTATAATCATTGAATTCATTGACAAATAAGTGTGTTTTACATACCTATAATATCTACAGCANAGACGAAGCTTGTCAGTGAAATAAATGTCGACGAGCGTGTGAATCAGTACGTGAGCGATTGAAACTTTGCATTGACTTAGGAAGTGAACAAATTGAGCAAGTTTTGTGAAAAGCTTGGTGTTAAAAATACTTCATGAATAAGTATTATTTTGTGAGGCATTTTCTAGTTTAAGTGCTTTAATAAACGTTTTGATAGAAGTCAGACTTGTTTCCTTACTACGGATCATATCCTGTATCTTTGAATTATATCATCTGGTATATGTGGTAAAAAAGATGAGCTCTAACTGAATGTGTATCAAGATAAATCGAAAAACTTATTTGCTCTGTTACTTATTCGTTAATGAAAAATGCAGTGAACCAAGCAGATGTCGAAGTCGCTTTTACTAAACCATGATCCAGTTTCATCAATAAAGTTAAAAATAGCTGTGGTTCCATTTGAATTATCTTTTCGTATACTAAGCCGTCAATTATGCCCAAAAGCACATTTTTATTAGATTTTCTTTTCACTATTGGAGTTCATTCAATTATTGATCTAATTTTCGGCTCAAGTGCAAAGGTATAATTCGTTGTAGGTACTCGAACAAGTAAAGATTCAGAGTCACAATTGGAAGTACTTATACACATTTTGGAATTTCATGATCGTTTGAAACAAGAAGGACATATAAGTACTTTACTTGGACATATAATTGATCGATATGTACAAAGGACTTATTATTCAACATTGGCAAAAGTAAGCAGAACATTGGGTACTCGTAATAATTGTAACAATTCACAAATATCTGTAACGTACAATCGTGTTAGCGAATGTCGATAAGCTAATTCAACAAGCAAAGCAGCAAGCTCTTTTATGATTGAAGGTTATACAATATCTTCTAATTCATAATCGGAAGATAATGGTTTATAATCATCTTCTATAACGTTGATATTGATTAATTCAAAATCATTGTCGTCAATCGAACAAATAAATATATTATCCGAGCTACAAGAGTGTTCTGATGATGTTGACGAACGAGAAGAAGTAGAGTAAGAACGACTTCTATTGGATGGTGAAAGATTGAGTACGTTTAATGATGACAATGAATGTGATGAAAATGAAATATCAGATTTAGAAAATGATGATGAAGATGGGGCAACTGCTGAAACATATGCTCCAGCATAACTAACAGTCAGAAATCCCAATATTTTTCTACTAACTAAGTTTAGACAAAACTCATCTCAAAATATCGATTACAGATTGCAAGGCTACGTGTTGCCGATATGAATGTGCTAATTGCTGATTGAATGGAGATATTCTTTTTCATATTGAAGACATCATAATGAATTATATTTTTCAGTTAAATCCTATGCATCACCTATTGCTTTAGAATGTGGGTGTGAATATCGGTGGGTGTGTCATGCGGGATGTGGGTTTGAGTGGTGGCAGTGTGAATGTCGTCTACAATCGCCTCAGAGTCACATCCATACCCTGAACAATATACATGATGAAAACTGACAAAATTATCAAAAAAAAATTGAGCAACGTTGCCAAAGTAAAAATAATGTTCGACAAGTATATTCGTAAAAGAGGTGATCAACGGAACTTTTTTTTCGCAAAGTTTGAATTGTAGTATTAGATTGCGTGTGAGATAAATCGAAAACAGGCATAGCAAATAATATTCAAGCTGTCTACTGTGATACTCAAATGGCAAACAACAAGAATGATATCGTGGGAGCGAAGTGCTTAAATTTTGCTGATTGAGAAAAAAAACTGCTGTCATGAAACACCTGAGCATATGGAGATATATACAGATATCGTTTTCATCGATGGATTATAGCACACATTTGCCCTACTGCACACTCATACCATGATGTCAGCTACATCGACAACTCATTTCATTGTTGTCTTGATGATGATGCACAACGTTAGAGCCGTTTACAACAAGCTTGAATTCACGGATTGTGGTTCTACAGCTCTTATCATCCACCAGATTGATATTAATCCAATGCCAGTCTTTATTCCAGGTATTGCCAATGTATCATTGGCGGCTACTGTGAAGAGACCCATAAGTGAGTGATTGACAAATGAGAAGATGAAATAAGTAATGATTAATTTGCACATAGCAACATTTGAAATATCGTTTAATATCAATCGTACGGTTCGTGGCTTAACACTTCCAATCAAATGCTATATGATGAATGGCATACCTCTCGGCTCATGCAACTATGCCGGTGATCGTCTATGTCAATTCACTGATTACTCATTGTTGGAAAACATGGGTTTCCATATATTGTTACCTATCTTCTCGCTTCTCGGCCTCGATAGTAAATGTCCTCTCAAAACGGTGCCGATTCAAGAAGCCGATCTTCACCATCAAATGTTTGATATGATTGACTCGACGTCGACAGTTTTCTTTCTTTTGCAACCCGGTGATTTTTCTATGAAGTTAACGGCCTATGAGCGAGATGCACCACATGATCAACCACTCTTCTGTGGTCAATTTAAGCTTACTGTCCAACCAGGCAAGAGTGGCCATAAATAGATATAAGTCGTTGAATACATGAGTAAATAGCAATGCTATTATAGTGTTTTCCTTGCGAACTTATTTGAAATACAAAAACGATGTCTCTAAAAACTCTTCACTTGTGCACATTACAGCTCATGAGATTTGAAAGTAGCATTATTTGATGATGGGAAAATTCTATGGCTATGAGAACTGAGAGATTTATTCGTAAGATCTTAATTCACGACTAAATTCTTAACATATGCATTACGAATATTTTCAATGTTATCTTTCTTTCATGTGAAGAAAAAGTTGATTTATAACAACATACAGATCTAGAATATGCATGACCAGTAGCGCTGAAATTTAATTACTATTAGCTGCTCTTATCTGTGTCACAAAAATATACAATGACCAAATTATAGTAGGTTCATATACGCGAAGAGGCACATCATGCGTGTGAAGTCCTCGAACTATTATCGTACAAATGGGATACCGGGAAATTTGCTGTTTACAGTGTCTTTTTTATATATAGATAGTTTCTGAAATCATAACGAACTTTTTCGCAACTCTATCTATTGTTTTATTTTGAAGTACATGCAATGGAGTCGGAATACAAAACGTTGGAATTATGTCAATTATCATGTTTGCTCTGATCAGCTACATTGCACCTACACTTGTTGTCTGAATACTCAGCGATGTGCTTTATTAGACTAATCGATCAAAAATCCTTTCAATGAACATATGTGCAGCATATGGCATGTGTCATCCTCTTTGATAAGATTTTCTTATTTTCATGATTATTCTTCTCGATTATCAGATCCGTTGACATGGATACTCAAATTTTTTCACTAGAAAGTATCCATGAGAGAACCTTCTTAGTCAGAAATGTTTCGGCGACTTCTGTCTACATATTGTTGAGAATATGATATAAAAAAGGAAACCGAGTACTTGTGGAATCTATGAGAGCGCATAGGAACCGAGCAGTGTGTCACTTTGCCAAGTGTTCGGTTGAAATGTAAGAATTAATTCAATCTCGTCCACTACGATCAATATTCGCACTCGTCTCTAATGGAAAACAAACTGTGATACGCACTGAGCTACTGAATGGCAGCTCACTTAACATAGCGCCAAGTCAGAAATCGCTTGGTGACAATCAATCTTCGACAGACACATAAGTGATTACCTAAGAATATTAGAAAGGTCGCCATAAAACTGTCGTTTTACCTATATTTTCGGGCCAGCTGTTCAGCAATACAGTTAAAAGTGATTGAAACAATTGTATCTCGTAAAGTCATTGTGGACAAAACCACTTTGGGACTATTTTAAAATGCGTTTTATTTGTAAACCACTGATGACTCGAGGGTGTGGATGTACGTATGGTTGTGGATGTGACTGTTACTCTTCTTGTTACCCACGCTCCACCACACCCATCCTCCCCAACATCCTAGCTGAGGATTCCACGTAAACGTGCTAAAAAGCCATGGCACTATGTTCTATATCTCCTATATATCCATTATGTCCTATATCACTGTATCTTCGATAAATCAGATGACTCATGCAAGAATTTAAATGAATTTTCATGGAAATCTACAAAATACATGTAACCGTTCAACGCATTCATGTATAACCTAAAACGTTCTGCCCACGTCATAACGCATCACGATGTGAACCGAAGTTTACGCCCTCATTCTTATAAATCACTGTGTAACTAGAACTTTTCGCCATCACGCTCCCAGATGGATGAGTATTGTCACGCACAAAAGAAGAAAGACCTGATAGACTCTATTAGATTCTTATAGGTCTGGTCATAGCTTAGCAAAGTTTGCATACTGACTAAACCATGATATATTTTGGTAGATCTCACAGAGAGATCCTAAAATATTTTGTAGTTCGTTTTGCCTCATGAACTCCAAATTATCGGATTTATAAAACCTATTAGTATGAATAAAAAGTGATCAAGACTATAGAGATTAGTAGTATTCATAAAATTTGAAAAAAATATTAAATTAATAAAAAGAAAACAGACATAAATTAATTTTATGCATAACTGCACGTGCCGTAGCATTTCACAAAAAAATATATTTGCACAAAAAAGTTGGTTAATTTTACACTTACTGTAGTTATTCTCACGAATAAATGCCAGACTGAAGTCTATAGTGGCCTCTTCCTTACGTGTCATCATATAACATGAAATATTACAGCTTCACGTTGATACCTTGTGCCATAGCCCAATTGTTTTTAGTTTCACTTTTTTATATAGCTGTGAGGTCCGACGAATTTTACGTTAACTCTAGCACAGTACTGAAAGGCGCGGACTTCTTCGCCTTCATTCTCGCCAATATGACGATTTTACTATTGTTTCATTAGAATTTTTATGTTTTGTCCTCAAAATGTTAGTTACATTATGTTGATAGTTCACTGCTCGTCTTTTGAGTAACGATGCATGATCTATACCATTGACCACAACAGAAGCAGACTAATTATGCAGTATGTAGATATCATGAATGAATTGCGGTTCATTACAAAAGTACATGTGTGAGATGGAGACAGTAAAGTGAATCAAGAAGATGATTAAGTAAATACCATTTATCAATCGCCAGGATCGATCTCATGAATGTTTCAATCGTGTCTAATGAGAGAACCCATCCAACTGATAACTTCCGTTCAAACTCATACTTTGCCCATAGGTAGGACTTTTAATGTATATTAAAATCCCAGAACGGTTTATGCCATTGTCTCTATATTTCAAAGAAACACATATAAGAAGTTTCCATAGAAATGTCATTATTATTGAAGGTGCAAACATGATTACAATATGTTTTTATTTTGTAATAAGGCTTTGTTCATATAGATTTTGTAGACCTTTCGATGACGGACGCGTCTTTCAAGAAAAAAATTAAAATGTTATCGTTTTTGTGAACGGAAATATATACGCAATAGGGAAGTTTTCCAAAAAAATTTTATCATGTTCAATATGACAGGAAATAGTATAATCGTATAGGTGGTTTATGTTGGCTAGGAAAAACTTATTAGAGAAAGTCATTAGAAATTTCTGTTGTAGAATTTTGTTAAGCTTCTCATGGCATCTTTTAAAAAATCAAGATTTTATGATTTTTCTAAGCCGAGATATGTGCAACGTAAGAAAGTGTTACAATCGTTTGGGCATATCTGAAAGTAATGCCGTTTCTGTAGAAACGTATTATCTGTATTTCTCGGAAATACAGAGGCAATGACATGAATCCTTTCAGGGTTTTATTCTACACTAGAAGTTCTACCTATGAGCAAAGTATGAACTTGAATGGAAATTATCAGTTGGATAGATTCTCTCGTCAGGCACATACCATTTTAGCGCTATGCGTACATTGTTTAATAGGCTTGTTTCTACTTTTGATATTATTCCAATAAGTTACTCGCCAGAGTGTGGATGGGGGTGTGAGTCTCTTCCTCATGAACACCCACATCATTATTGAACACACAAAGATACTTTAGCTGTCGTCTAAAGGAATGAAATTTCGCATAGAGCACAGTAGCAGTGGTCTCTGACACTTGTTGTTGACAGATCATTAGAATGCTTTTATCATGAATAGATGTTTCAAGTAGGAAGAGCTTTACGACTATTCTGTGTAAAACTTGGTAAGACAAGTACATTTTATGTAGACATTTAAAACGATTGTCCAATAAATATCTTCTCTAGAGCAATATTTAAATTATCAAAACTTTAGAACGGCGATACATCAAAGATTAATTTTAATCTGAACCCCTTGCCCGGGGCTTCATCTACTTATGGTTTCTAATTAATTATGAATGAAAAACAAATGCCAATGAATTATAACTTTTTGCGGAGTATGTCAACATAATTTTTAACACTTTGTACTTTCCCATCATCTGAACCGAAAGCTGAACGAGCATGAAAAAGTGAACGTTCGGCATGTTTTATAGCTGCCTCATAATTTCCAAGATCTTCATAGGCCCTTGCTGCATTGAAATGAATTACATACAAAGATGAACGATTCGGAGATGATAATGCTTCTTGAATCTCGAGTGATTTTTCGTAAAATTTAACAGCATCTGTTTTCATATTCATAGATGAATAAATCGAAGCCATACTACTATAAATTGGAGATAATGATGAATCATTCGGAGAAAGGATTTTTTCTCGAATCGATAAAGATTTTTGATAAAATAAAAGAGCATTATTTTTATCATCCATGCAATTATAAGCGACAGCAATATTATTGTAAGTAGTTCCTAATGTTGCATCATCTGAAGAAAGCGTTCGTTCCAGTATTTTTAAAGCTTTTTCATAGAACATAACAGCCTCGGAATAATTTTCCATTGAATTATATATCGATGCCATACTGCTAAAAGTTGAAGCTAATGCTGGATCATTGGTAGAAAGAGTTTTCTCTCGTATAACAAGTGCTTTTCGATGAAATATTAGAGAATTTTGTTTATCTTCCATACAATCATAAGCAACAGCAATATTATTATATGTTGTTCCTAAAAATGAATCATCTGAAGAAAGTATTTTCTCTTGAATTAGTATCGCTTTTTGATAATAATTGATAGCCTCGGAATAATTTTTTATTGAATGATAAATAAATGCCATATTATTATAGATTCCCGCTAATGAAGAAATATTATCGTCGGACTGGGACTTCTCTCGAATGATAAGTGCTTTTTCATAAAATTTAAGAGCATTTTCATTATCTTCCATAGAGTTATACGCGATAGCAATATTATTATAGGTAGTTGATAACGAATAATCATCTTTTGATAATTTTCTTTGTTGAATGACCATTGCTTTTTGATAATAACTGATAGCTCTTTGATAATTTTTCATTGAATGATAAATTGATCCCATATTACTATATATATTAGCCAATAATAACTCATTTTCGTCAGGATATTTTTCACGAATAGAAAGTGTTTTTTCATAAAATGATAATGCATTCGAATGATCATTGATAGCATTGTATGCAACAGCAATGTTATAATACGTATTTGCTAATCTTGATTTTTCATTAGAAAAATATTTTTCACGTATTGTATAAGTTTCTGTATAAAATGAAATTGCACTTTGATAATTTTTCATGTCGTAATATGTACCACCAATGATATCATACGTATTAGCTAAATCAAAATGATTCGGTGGTGATAATTTCTGCTGTATAGTTAATGCTTGTTCAGAGAATGAGATAGCTTTTGGATAATTTTTCATTTGATAATATGTAAATCCAATATTGTAAAATGTTTTTGCTATTGATTGATCTTTCGTTGATTTGGAACTTTGTTGAATAGAAAGTGCTTTTTCATATGATGATAATGCAGTTGAATAATCTTTCATTGAATTATAAATTGAACCAATATTGTTGTAAGTATTAGCTAAATTTGGATGATTCACCGAAAGAGATTTTTGTTGAATTTCAAGTGCTTTTTCATAATGAGTAAGTGCTTTTGATTTATCTCCCATTGAACTATAAATTGTACCAAGATTATTATAACTATGAGCCATATCAGGATGATTATCATTAAGAAATTTTTGACGAATATCAAAAGCTTTTTGATAATAAATTTGTGCTTTTGATTTATCATCCATTGAATTATAGACCGAACCAAGATTATCATAAACGTGAGCAAAACTTATATGATCTTCAGAAAGAGATTTTCGTTGAATATCGAGTGATTTTTCAAAAAATGATAATGCACTTGCATAATCTTCCATTGAATCATGTACTGAACCAATGTTGCTGTAACACATAGCTATATCAGGATGATTCGATGGTAGTGATATTTCTCGAATTCTGAGAGATTTTCTATGATATTCAAGTGCTTTCAAATGATCTCCCATTGAATTATATATTGTACCCATGTTAGCATAAGTTGTTGCTAGATCTACATGTGTAGAAGGAAGAATTTTTTCTTGAATTTCAAGAGACTTTTGATAGAATGAGAGTGCAGTTTCTTTATCACCCAATGAACTATAAGACGATCCAATATTATTATAAATACTACCGAAATCTGGATGATTGGCAGGAAGAGTTTTTTGCCGTATTGTAAGTGTTTTCTTGTAGAAATTAAGCGCAGCTGCGTAATCACCCAATGAACTATGAACTGATCCCAAATTATTATAAGTAGTAGCGATTGAAGGATGATCAGAAGAATGAGATTTTTGTTCAATTGCGAGTGCTTTTTTATAATAGGATAGAGCCGACGAATTGTTTCCCATTTTATGATATACACTAGCAATATTATTGTAGGTAGAAGCCAGTGATGAGTCTTTGTCAGAGACATTCGCTTCTTCGATTTCAATTGCCTTTTCATAATATGATAAGGCAACCATATAATCACCCTTTTCACTATAAACATATCCAAGTTGATGATTAAGATGAACTTGTTTGCGCCAAGTTTTTTCACTTTCGGAATTGAGTTGTGCATCATAAATTCCCTCTGCTTGATCGAATTCGCCCATTTTCAGCATCAAATGTCCTATTCGATCTAAAGGAGTACCACCTTCAATCTCTTTTCTAAAATAATCTGTTAGTGTATTAAGTGTTTGATCATTATCACTTGTTAAATTTAGATTAACAAGCCAATATTGATCTTGAATATGTTGAATATCGATAATACGAAAAATCGTATGCATAGAGAAAAGAATTTCATTTTCATATTTATAAGAACTATTTTCTCTTAAATAAGCCCATGGAACCGATGATTTTTGTGGATCGATGATCATTTGGAAGAGTACGCCATTAACCTTTGGACTTTCTGCTGCACGTATGGCGAATTGTGCTGAAACACTTAACTCGCTACTTGTTGATAGAAAACTGTTAAATGAAAGAAGACCACCGATACTATTTTTTAATTTATCGAACTCTTCTAATAATATACTTTGACCACGATAGACAGTCATTATTTCATGTTGATTCTTTTGATCATTATACATTTTTTCAATTTGTTTATGAAGATCCGAAATAAAAAATCCCATTTTCATAATCGTTTCAATATCTTGAGATCTTAATGCACGATTCATCATTGGATACAAAAAAGATTCTTTTGTATACCATTCAATAGCTAATTGTTTATTATATTCAATATCAAATTCATCAATAAGACTCAATTGATAATCACTATCAGCATATTTAATACGACAATATTCAACAAGTGTAGTTTTCGCTTTATAATCATATTCCATATCGAGTAGATTTTCTTTTAGTAATTGTGTATACATAAATGATTTGTCAAGCTCATTAGACTCATAATCTTTTTTCTCGATATCTTTCTTTGTTAAAATACTAATTGGAGTTAAACTACCTATTTGACCACTATCAAATTTAATAGCTTGAAATATTTGTTCCATATGATGATAAATTCCTTTGACTTTTCCTACCCATTTATTAGCCCAATTTATTCGAAATTGTTTTTCTGGATTGAAAATATAAATATATTCAAGTTGTGGTTTATTGAAAACTAATGGTATGAGTTGTTCACCGATTGTATCAGAAACAATAAGAAAAACTATCTTATCGTTAATCGTATCTAGACATTGAATGCATTCATCAGATTTTGTAAATTTATGAATCAAATTGGTAATACGTTGAAGTTTGGTAATTGAATCTTGATAGAGTTTTTCAGTTTTATGTATTTGAGAGTCTACCCAAATAATAACCAAATTTTGGTTAAGATCATATTGTGTAAGGATGGAAGGATTGGGAGATTTTTTGCCGCCAGTGGATAGTTTTACCACTGCCGAGTTGGTCGTGGATGTTGCGCTTGTTGCTCTTTTGGCTGGGATCTGTTGCGATGAAGAACTGAGTATTTGCTTCTTTTGGTTTTTCGTCTCGTCCTGAGACGTTGTAGAATTAGGAACAACTTTTGTAGCTTTCGATGATCCACAACCCATGATGAATAATATGATCTGTTTTTGTTGAATTTATTTGAATATATGCTTCAAAGAAATAAAAAAAAAGGTTTCTTGTTATGTAAGTAGTTTCGATTTCTTTATGCTCTTCAGATTTCACGAAGTTGTATCTTTTGTTTTATATTAAAACAGCAAAGGATATTTGCCATGCACAAGGCTTATCTTTCTTCTGACATTATAGTATGAAATTTAGTGTTGAGAAAGAAAAATTACTGTCGATAAGAAAAAGACATACGGGACAGTTATAAATACAAAACGCTTTATGAGATCGTAAACGACTTGAAGTCAATGAAGATAATGAGTGACTATAATGAAATACTGAGATCAAAAATATTTAGATTGAATTTTTCATACATTTTAAATTCAAAGAATTGTTAAAAATCCATGACCCAAAGCGTGGATGTCATGATACCCTATGAGTGTGGGTGTGGATTTTACTTTTCTTGTCACGTAGACTTACGTCTACACCCACACTTGTATGGACGTTTTTTTTTTGTAAATATTAACACTCCACAGGCGTGTTGAAAATAAATTATGAAAAAAGCAAAATTTTAACAAAACGACTGCTTCAAAAAATGTTGGATAAAGATGTAATTATTCCACGATTAAAATTGACTTATGAGGTATGGTTGGGTGACTGAAGCGAGGTCATAGCCAAATCTACAGTCAACCCTTAATAATACTGGAAATGATATGTCTTTCATAGGATATGGTGGATATGTTGCAATAAATGGTAAAATGTACAAATGACACAACCCTATAAGGAACAAAAAAGGAACAATGATTTTTTTCATTTGCCTTCTGTTGTTAATAGAGGAAGCAGGTTCATCATATCAAGTTTTGAAATTGCGCTCAATTATCCAATTTTTTTTGTGAATAAAAAAGAAACGATTCTGTATTGTTTTCAAAAATTTTGCTTTAGTCTTAATGTTTTATTCATTGCAAATCGAATATAAGGTTTGAGTGACATTATTCATATTGAAAAAATTGAATAATACAAGTACAATCGTCATTAGCAAAATGATTCATTCAAATGATTAAATTATTCAAACTATTGGCTTGTTCACCTGCTTACGTAATCTTACTGATAATCAACAATATTTGCTCTTTCAATTAAACAAATTTCGTTGCATTATGCAGTCATTTAAATTAATTGCGATGAATATAATAAAGGCCATGATTCATTAGTTTTACTTAGTAAGTTAACAATGCATTGAAAATAGACATCTTTTTGGTTTATTAGGCGATGAGCATATATTTAAGTGAGTATAATATGATAATTTGTCTTTTCAAATATGTTTCTAGTCAAAGCATATGACAATTATTTATGAATGAGGATACTTTTGACAAGAATATATTAAGAAAAAAAGCCTACCTAGATACAAATGACGAGATGTCTGAAAGAAATCGAACCATGACACAATATCAATGAGTTTCTATGAATTTGTGTTCTTTGTCATAGACGACGGTCTATGTTTATCGATATAATGAAAATATCTTGGCAAATTCTAAAAGTTCAGAAGGACAGTACTGAACGAAGCAAATTTTCATACAGACACTAAATGACAACCGAGAATTGTACATAAATACATTTACCAAATGAAATTCGAGGAAACTAGTGTTTTGTTTTTCGTCCAGTCAATTGATTTTGTATTCATTGAAGATTGTGATTTTTGAAAAATTCATTACAACATGCTGTATTACCTGTCTTTCTTCAAAATACATTTAAGAAATATCAAATTAACCTTTTTATGACATACATGTATATCATCAAAAATTATCAATAGTTGAATATATTTATCAAATATCGTTTTATCAGATTAATTCTTCCCTTAATCAATCTTTACATTTATAGCAGAAAATGTGACACATGCTAGTAAAGTTTATTGATTATTTGTACAATTCTTTTATCAACCAGATATGAAGAAATAGAAAAGATAAGCTCAACTTTGGTCGAAAGTAAAAATCTCGAAAAAAACTTTAGAACAATTGATGAAGTATGAATGTGAGTAAATGGTTGAAGAGAAGATATTTCAGCATTCACACGCCTACACACCCATCCAGACCCTAATTTGAAGTTATTATGCTAATATCAGTTCTCGTCTTTGTCAAAATAATTGAAATATATGGATTTTGATCAATTTTATGAAATTAGAAAAAAAAAACATGTACAGAATATTATGCTTCAACGTTCTTCTGAACTACATCGAAACAGAGGCGATGTTTGTGATTGTGTGAGTATATGGGTGTGGCGATCAGTGTAGAGTGTGCTGACTGTCATTATATGTATCGATCGTTGTGTAAATACGTGATTATCTGTGTGAATCTTGGGGTGGGGTGTGGGTGAACTATAGACTATCATCAACATCTACACACCCAATGGCCTTGAACATACTAGGTATCACATACGATTACTGTAGTTTCCTTGAATTTCAACAGAATCATTCTGTTTAATATTGAGCGTGGAAAGAGGATCTAACCAACACTGCCCATGACTAATATTTCCATCGATATACATTGAATAGTGAAGAAAAGTAAAGCGTAATACGATATGCAGGTAGTCAGCTGTTTTCTTAGTTATCCTTTATCACTTTACGCAAATATTTGAAGAATAATATACGTAGCTCTAGAGCCTCTTCTTTTGTTTATTTGAAAAAGAAAGAGGCTCATTCTTCACTTCATTATCGAGATAAGCCAATGTAATATAATGACGGGTGAAATGTTTTTCTTTATTGTTCTTCAACTTTACATTCAGAACCACTTTCGTGCACGTACGTTGATGGAAAACAAAAGTTAAAAACAAGATTTGTCACATACACAGCATTTGTCTTTGCATTCTCGCAAAGCCTTTAGCAAGGTTCATTATGCACAACGGACAAGGGCAGAAGAAGAAAGAATCTTAATAAAATTTTTCTTCCATCTTATAACTGAAATCGGATGGAGCCAAAATTATGAATCATTTCATAAAACTAATGAAATAATATTATTAAATATTCTACTATGATAAACAATAACGATTGTGTGTGAAAAATTAAATGGAGGCATTTCAAGACAAATTACGAACTAAAAAACCAGAATTAAAGGATAATATTGCAGGAAGAAAGAAACACGATCCAGAAGGAGTCTTGAACCATAAAGCATAACATTTGGATTCACTCCACTTCGCTCTCACAGGCTGTAACAGACATGCTGGAAAGTTATCAGAGACCCTGAATAGGCCTGTGCGGGACCAGCAAATAAAACTTCACTGGGGACGAAACTGTACATCAAAAATTAGTTTATTACTGTCATACCTACATCTTGTGATGAAAAAAAGCAAGCATATCACGAGTGGAGAGGCGCGGGACCAGTTTCAGTGACCGGGATCGAAACTGAAGTTTCTAGTTCAACTTTCTACGATTTGAAGAAGATCATATAGTAAATCATATGAATCAGAGCATGATTCAAGAGAGATGATCACAAAAAAGTGGTATTCGTAGACTAGATAATTAAAAATAAATGAGTATTGAAGAATTATTTTCGATATGACATGTATAAATTCTACAATAGATTTCTATAGACTGAACGACAATGAAGAAATATGTCTGCAAATAGATAGAATAAAACAATATCTCTACGAATACTAAAAGCAGCTACATCGTATTGTAATCTTGCAAGGATTGTGCTAGTAACTTTTCTTTTGGAAAATGAACAAATGATATCGAATGATTAAAAATTATGGTTCAAATATAAACTTTAAAGTAATATATTGAACAAAAACGTCAAAAATGGTTTATCCAACAGATCATCAAATGTAATGATAAACAGACTCAATGAAATGAAAATGAGTCTTTCGAACAATTCTTTTAAATTTATCCAATGCAGAACTGATTGTTTATCAAAACTTTTATCTATCCGACAATATATGTAATAGATTCTAGTTGACTTCAAATAATTCTGTCATCGGATTGAGCTGTAGATTTCCGCAGTCGAACAATTTTTCTCGTAGTAATAAACTCATATTTCATCAATAAAACTAATAAAATCGGTTCAGTTTCGAATTGATCTTGACTATCTACCTGATTAACATATATTTAGAACAGAGTACAACCAGAAAATATTGAATTTGTCTAGGTTTATTAACATGAATAGAATATTTATTCAATGAATATTTAAATGCAAACTATGGCATGATTAAATAGCCAATATTGTAAGACGTTTATGAGTATTAACGTTTTTCGAATGCCTCAATCACAGACCATAGGCTTATCGTTAGTTTTTAATTTTTTTTTTCGAAAAAACGAATAAAAATATCAGGTGATTCATAAGGAATCTGTTGAAATAATGAAAGTTGACTTTACTCAAAAGATACGCTGATGATTCTATTAATGCTATATTGCTGTCTTTTTTGAAAAACAAAATTAACGAATTCCATAAACATTTCAATTGAATTCAAACTGTAATCATGTTGAACTTATTTTTTTCGAAAATCTACGTTGCATGAGATTTCAATAGTTACACTTGCTCTATTGGATATATCATTTCAAAAGAAAATTGCATATCGAAGTCTATGAATGATCGACGAAGTTCAATAAACATGAGTAATCTTTTTTTTTCAAGCAGTTCTTGTGATTTGTGTTTTGTAGATCGATAAGAAACGGCGGCTCTGTTTTGTGACTCTTATTTTACTAAGACTATTCCTTGTTGTTTCTTCAGCAAAAGAGTAGCGACGAGTAAATGTGTACGACTCATTTGAAAAGAGTCCCAAGAGTAGCAATTCATATGAATTAGCATCGTGTTTACTTTTATTAAGAAGAGGTGATAGACTTTGACTGATATGTTCCTATAATTAAAAGAACTGCTTGATTAATTGTTGGTGTGGAAGGAATTGTGAATATACTACAATAGAAATCAAACTGTTTTGTTTAGAATCTCGAATACCTAAACATGAAATGCGACTAACGAGGGAACATTTCAAACTATTGAAGTGCTGTCGAGTCGGGACTTATTGCATCTTGTAGATCCTGGTGAACTATGTTTATCGCAGAAAGCATTCGCTCCCATAGATTGTTTCTGAGGAGATTCAACTTTTTTAGTTAATTTTCATTTATAGGGCCTGACATTTGCAGCAAGACCATATTGTCAAATGTTGACTTGAAACTTTGGCCACATAAAGACGTCATGTAAGCTCCATATCTCAGAGAGATGTAGCCCAAAAGTTCTGAAATTCTTTATACAAACTAGCTTAGATGACCTATTTACGTGGCAAAAGTTTCAGGTCAAAATTAGACAATATGGTGTTGCTGCAAATGTCAGATCCTATAAGCGAAAATTAACTAAAAACGTTCGATCTCCTCGAAAACAAGCTATCAGAATGAAAGTCTTTTGTGATAAACATAGTTCACCAAGATTCACAACATGCACTAAGTCCTGACTCGAAAGTGCTCCAACAGTTGGGAATGTTCCCTCATAAGTGTACTAATTTATTTGAAATAACTGTGTTGCATAAGTATGATTCAGTTCTCAAATGTTCGTATTTCAATCAATTCAAATTGTCTTATTGTCTAAATTCAAAATATACAAAAGAAAGTCTTTCGAAAAAAAAAACAATTTTTAACATAGAATTGAACAATAAATATTGTTGTCATTGAATCGATTGTTAATGATTATCACCAGACTGAATTTCACCTACATGAAGAGAATTACCGTTCGATGTTTTCCATTTAGACAGAAACATATTTGTGACCTCTTTTAGCCATGCCTAGCTGACCAATTAGAAATTTATTTTGAAACATTGTTTAGACAATGATTTCGTTCTATATAATGACCTCGGACGCCATAAACATGCTTCATATGGCTAAACGAGGAAAATGTTCAGTTTCTTACGGCATCGACGTTGCTATACAAAAGAAACAGCTGACACATCTATATAGGACACGAACTGATTGGATGGCTTATTCGAATATTTTGTCCGTTCTTTGTTTTTATGTTCTTTTTAAATAGAAAAACGTGGTTAAAAATGGTCAGTCTATAGAAAATTCCATAGAAATGACGTCCTCCATTCCTTCTGCAAAAGAAATGCTGATATTAACTTGCGCTAACATGTACATATTCATGGCGATCATGTGTTTGATCATGGTCATTGTAAATGTGGGCAAGTACTCAACTTATCGTCAATGCGAACTTGATGTAAAAGATTTCTCATTGGAAACGATCTGTCGTATCGATGACATCGTCTCGCGTCCTCAGGAAATGCGAAGTTCCTCATTGATAATAATGAATAGTACGTTTCTAATTTCTTTCGAAGTAACTTCGAATAGAAACAGCACAAAACAATCATTTGAAGAATGGTCGGTGCCTGTACTGCTCAAACCAAATCTGGTCAGCATAATCATACAAATACCGTTAATTTTATATCAATCTATATTTCTTTTATCGCTTCTAGATAAACAGCACATATTTATGCTTTGTTGATCCGAATGATATTCGACGACGACCACTCCAACACAAACCGAATATAAATTTGGCTCGCAATGCTCTTATCTGGTATCTTTTAGTACCTGGGTCAATATTTACATCAGCTGTCATCATATCAATTGTTTTTTTCATTAATCAATGGTTAAAAATGAATTCAAAATGATGACCAGAAATCTTGCTCTGTATGCTAACACATCCTATTAGTTCTCTAATTATTCCATGTTTTATTGTGAAAAATAAATAAAATTTCCTAGGAAGTAGAAAAGAAAAAATATATCGAATTCTATGAATATAGTCAAATGCGTAGCCATAAATTTATGTCGACATGTGCATCATGTCCTATTTCAGTATCATCGTTTTTGTACTACTTGATTATATAACAATCTTTTATGATAGAATCTAATGAGAATATCATTAAGTCTGATTTGGGTGTAGGTGTCGGTGAACACAAGATCCAATTTCATACCCGCACATAAACTCACATCTACTTACACCCACACCCTCTCTTGAGAGAGAACGATTTATTAGAATCTTGTTTTTTCCTCTTGTTTACATGATCAGGCACAATCTGGTTTAATAGGTTTCTCACAATCATCCTCTGAACTGATTTAAGATAAGAAAGCTCTGATTAGTTCTAATGAATAAGTCTTTCTGCTATCGACACCACAAATAGGTAAGGATTGGTACGATCACACTGATGCTAATACCAATGATTATTGATAGTGAACTTGTTGAAGAACTACAGTCGGATAATGCCGTGACCATTTTAGTTATATTATCTTGTGTACATTTCATTTCTGGATGATCAGAACCATATGTGAATTGGTACACTTCGATGGCTTTATCGAAGTAAGTTTTGGCTCGCACATAATCAGACATATATGCATAATCTTCGCCCAAATTATTATAGCAAACACCTTAAAGTGGATGATCAAATGGTAAGACATCATGAGCCAAATTGACCGCTTTTTGATGATAGAAAATGGCCTGCTTAAACATCTTCTTGTGCCCATACACATTGCCTAAACTCATGTAATTTTTCACAAAATCGGGATGACGACGAGGCATATTATTAGTAATACGAATAGCCAATGCGAAATGAAAATGTTCTTCTGCTTGATCGAAATCGCCTTCGAATTCATAACAATTACCAATATTGTCGAATGTATCAGCCATATCCACATGTTGATAAGTGTGAAATAGGCAATATTTTAGTTCATTTGAACGTTGAAAATGAAGAAGCGCTTTGCTGTAATTACCACTTGCACCGTATGCTATACCAAGATTATTGTATTTTTTGGCTATAAACAGTAAATCTTGTGGCTCATGACTCTCATAAATTTGAACTGCTTGTATTTCATGATCAATTGCTTCTTTATACTTGCCATTACGTAAAGCGATCGTTCCTAGTCCATCAAGACATTCAGCACGAGCATAGCTATCTTGTGGCATTTGATTAATTAATTGTCGGTAGTAGCGTTCTGCTTTATCATATTCCCCCATTTCTTCAAGAATTGAAGCAAAACTCACTAAATGATGGTTCAAATTAGTATTGATTCGAGTTGCTTTCAAATCATTGACAACTTCGCTCAAGTCATAATCATTGTCTCCAATGAGTGACAGACGAACAATCGTAAATCCTTGTTCATATTCTTCTTTTTTGATCACTTCATCAATTCGAAAGATAGTTCCAATCATGAAAAGAATTTCGTTTTCATCAGAAAATTGACTGTATATGGAGACATCGGCAAATGGTTTTACCGGTTGTCTTGCTGGAAGACGCATTTCAAAAAGAATTGGCTCAAGATTTTGATTAAGCGCTTGCGTACTCTCTGCAAAAAAAATAGCTGTTTCACGTTTTCGACTGGTCGATATAAAATTGGCAAATGAGACGAGCTCGCCTTTATTATCATCAAACTGATTGAGAATATCACGCGAAATGGCTTGACCTCGATAAACAAAGATATCTTCATCATTGTTCCACAGCGTTCCTAGATCTCGTTGAGTGACAAAGTCTTGATGCAGCAATTCACCAATATCTCTAATGAATACACGGAAAGCAAGAATAGTGTCTATATCGAATGTACGTAACGCTTTGTTGAGTGTGGCAAAAAAGAAGCTTTCTTTACTATACCACCATAGGGCGAACTCGGCCTCTAAATGAAGAAAAACTGGCTGATGTTGGTAAAATGCATCATAGATAGTTTTCCTCACTGTATTCCTTTTCGAACTCATTGACTGTCTTTGTTTGGATGTCATTACCGTCGAAATAAGCACGAAAGAGTGCGGCGAGAGTGTGAATACCCTCTTGCGACGACTCATTCTCCATTCGGAGAACACTTTCAATGATGACTTGGAACCAGACAAAGAAGCCATTGTGTTTCGTCAGCATACTTCTCTGTTCACCGAGATTGGTTTTTGCCTTCCAACTAAAAAATGCGATAGGCATATCTTTACTGCACACATTCTTGAGTTCGATGTGTTCCTTGATAAGACTGTTAATAAGTGAGTTGGTATCCACGTAAATACCACGAATCTAAAATAGAAACTATTCTACAAACGTTTGATCGAGGATTCCTACTGCAATACCCTGGTTGATTTTTCTCAAACAAAAAATCTACCTAGCTCAGTTCTATAAAGATTTTGATAAGGCTTTCTAGATGTTGTAGTCTATCTTATTCGAATAGTCATACAAGCAATTTTTCTACTCTTCACGTTTTTTTAGCACTATGTTTGAAGTTCTATCTGTTGAGTTCAGTTTTCATCATTGATATTGAAAATCAGAGTACACACCGAAAGAACAAGAGCTTCTGGTAATTTTCCCTTTAAAGCTTCCAGTAAAAAGTGCAAATGTTGAAATCAAGTGTAACTTAACATTGTCTTCCTTGTATTTGCATATCTCCTTGAAACTCTGTTCATCTGCATCAACAGACTTTAATGCAAAATAGCCTTAATTTTTCAAGATTATAATATAGTTCACATATTCTTACCTTTGAAAACTCATCCAGCAAACTTTTGTGAGCATCATTAGCTAGGCAATAAATGTAAACAGAACTGAGCTGTATACACGTGTGTATTTGCATTAAAATAGGCCGTGCCAATGAACCTGATGTGATCAAAATGATTTTGTCCTCTTGAGCACTGTCAATGTAAGTGGCGCAGTCATCCACATTCTGGAATGTTCGCAAATGGTTAATGACAGAGCGAAGCTGACGCCGTTCAGGAAGATTTGCTTTCCCTTCTCGCTGAATATCATGTCCCAGCCAGACAACCGAGTAAGTCTCCAAATTGCCTGTCATTGTCATTATGTGCTTATTCTATCAGCCGAAGGAAGATATTGCATGTGGGCTTTGTCCAACAAACATAGGTAGAATGATGTAATTGACAACAGATGTTTTGTCAGTGAGTTGTAAAAAAAGAAGTGAAGTTTGTTACGTTTTGTTTAAAACTAAATAGCAATAACTGTGTTATATAAGCAATGTTAGAAGTTTCCATCTCTAAATTTTAATATACATCGTCCAAATAAAAATAAACAGGGGAAACAGAAAGAGCGAATGAGAGAAAGCAGTCATTAGTAAGACCCCTCTCAATTTATAGTTTGAAGAATAAGTTTTATTTCTTGTTTCTCTATGATGAATATTAAAATTAATCTCATTTTTGAAAATAATACTAGACAAGACTAAACTACGAACTCGAAATATACAGGGTTCGATTCGTAATAATAAAAACATTAATTTATACTCATGTTAGAATGATTAAGCAAAATAGAAAGATGCAATTACTCTCGTCTCTTCATATGAATCTATTTCCCAGTTAAAATGCGAGTGATAGAATGAGTGAAAATGTTTATATATGCTCGCTGGGCGACTGCATGACGCATATATCATTGAAAGAAAGAGACCGGTATTTTCCAACGTGCAACATGTTTATTTATATAAAGGAAGTATATTTTCTCTCACTACGTGAAAAGACTGAGTAATAAGATCTAGGCACGCCGTTGATGTTGTTCTTTTCGTGTACAATATCAATTCTCTCTCTTCCTTATTCATTTTTCACATTTACGTATGCATTATGGTCTACTCGAAACGCATAAGAGTAAAAACAAGTTGGAAAATTTCAAGTTTGAGTGATCAATCGAATGAGAAATTTGTAAAATTAACATAGGTTGCATAGAAAAAATGTCAATAGTTACTAATTTTAGTCATTGACATCATTATTGAAGAGTATAGAACTATTATATGTATACGAAGTGTTTTCGATTGGGCTTTCATGACAGAGAAATACTAGATCAAGGTGTGGGTGTTGATGAAAAGAACACCCACACTCACGTCCGCACTCATACCAAACCCAAACAACATCCACCCACTTAGATCCCTTCGTGAGGTGTTTAAAAATTAAACATACAGCTATATTTACGGGTACAATTCTACAAACTCTGAAACTTTTATTCAATTCGTATGAAGTCGATGTAAATTCTCGTACGTTTTCGAAAGAATAACCATTTTCTAGAAAAGGTTTGAGCAAAAGTACTTTTCTATGAGACTGAGAAGTCAGTAATAAAGATTAAAAACAAAGAATGATCACCATTATATTTTACACAAATTCAATAACATTTAAAACATCACATCAGTAATGAATCAGTAAACTGTAATACTTGTTACCAAAATTATATGTTCTAGCATTTAGTGATGTTTAGAATTATGACTAGATAAGTTTGAAGACATCTAATTATGTCTTAACAATAATTTGTGAGTATGAGAGTGGTATATGTTATCCTTTCAACAACATCTGATAGTCCATCCTCTTTGTCCTTAGTAGTGGTATCGCCTATATAAAAAAAATCTATGCTCGACAATACTGATAAAATCAAACTTTATTTTTTATTAGTATCGAGCTATGTATAAAGCATTAAATAATTTTGAAAAGAGCAATGGTCAAGCTATACGTGAATTTAGATTAAGCATCAAAATCGTTCATTCATATACATAGTCTTGGATTGTTTTTTTAAATTATCGATGAAGAAATTTCTGCAATACCGATAACGAGCGTGATTGAAATGCCAAATGTAACCAAAACGTGAACTGCAAGAAGGAAAATTTTAAATCGCTCCTTAAGTATATTTTCTGGCGACGGTTGGTCATCGATTGGCGTAGCCTGGTCATCATCATGAAGAACATTTACTTCCACTGACTCATTTATGTTTTGAATCTTAAATGGTGGCCAACGCTTGCGGGAGAAAATTTCGAGACACTCGAAGCCAATCCATACAACAAATTGCATCGACAACCATGCCACAAAAATTTGCCAAGCTTTGGTCATGAGAGAATCAAATCTGATAAACAAAGTACCAAGAAAAATAGTCGCAATCGAGAGAATCCATGCACCGATACCTACAATGCGATGTGCATGGTTAAAAATAAATCTTCGTTGATGATCGGGATGACATCGAACTGCAGCCATTACTGGTTGTATGATAGCAGTAGAAATAACAAGCAAACCCATTATGGAATGAGCAAATTCACGCGATAGACTCTGAGAAACCCATGTACCTCGTTTAAAAATAAGAATGAGTGTGAATGCAATTAGTGTCATTGTTGCAGCAAAAACCATAACTACTTGATGAATAACAAACCATACGGGTGTAGCGCAAAGTCTTCGCTTGGGCCAAGATGGTCTGAAGTATCGAGCAATGAGAATACCTGTTGGAACAAATAGCATCCAGATAAATAGCATAATGATACCATGAGCTCGCAATAAAAGTATTTGATTAATGACTGATCCTGCAACAGTGCCTGATGTTATTGTTGCTGATTGATTGAGTTGAATTGTTTGAGTTAGCACAGCTGTCGAGAAATGTTTTATTAATGAATCTATTATGTTAAAATGGACATTATTTGAATCTATTTATCATGATAAAAGTATCTTACTTGAGCTATCTAGATTTCCTATGACGGTAAGAATATAATATTGGATATTTTGTGAAAGTAAAGAAATGCTCCGTTTCCTTCGTCGACCCGTTGTAGTAGTAAAATTTGACAGAGTAAATTCACAATAGACCACGCCATTGTTTAAAGCTACTCGGGTTACTTGAAATATACCACCATAATCTGAATTAGTAGTAACTAAGATTGGAGACGAGTAACCACCAGGATTGATAAAACGTTGAAGTTGTATTGTATCATTATTAAAGCGTTCACATACAAATACATGATCATTTCCCTACAAAAAAAGAGCAATCAACAAATGAAACAAAAATTCCTATTGCTGTTTGCCATTCTAGCATCAAGAGACAAGCCGATGCCGAGCCATTGAGATGTTGCGAGATTGCTGGTAGCTATTCCAAGAGTTGTTATGCCATTAAAATATGTCCAATTCAGATTCAGTGCTGGGCCAGTCACTTGTGACTTGCTTGAAGTAATTGAATATATTGATAAATCAGTCACTGATGAATTGATTAAAGTAATAGAATATGCTAATGGATCAACTACAGTGGTAGGATTCATTGATGGTACTGTAGTCTGTTGAACAACGATATACACATTTTAAAAATCTCAAAAAAAAAAATATGAAAACAATATTGAAATCCTACATTAGCTAGTTGCGAAAATGCAGTGGAAGTCGTAAGTAAACCATTGGGTAAACTTGCCGGCGTATTCTAAAGAAACCATTGTAAAATACATAGAGGAGAAGAATCTTTGGTTGATTGAATGGCTTACTACTTGAGGAGTCAGTGTAATATTAAAGCAATTTACGTAGAACGTTTTGTATGATTGGACGATGGTTGCTCTAAGAATTCATTCAAGTAAAGAAATCTTTTCTGTTCTGAAAAACTTCATTTTCAGAAAAATTAATAAGCTCCAGCAATTCAATCTTTTGTTACATGATAACTAGTATCAACTCCAGTTCCATTACCGAATATACATCATGTAAGAGTAACACATAGGCTATATTCATGATGTAAACAATATTGTTTTTGTTACTATACATCAATATCATTCACGGTGATAAAATATGAACTTAATGATTGAATTTATGATAGGTTTCACTCCATATTAGCCATTTTCATCTCGTCACCAATAAAAATTTAGCTTTAAGAATAATTCCAGTGTTATTATCTCTTCTATTCGTATCAGAAAATCCTCCTTTTTTTTCTGTTCTTTCTGATCTATTAGATATCTTATCTAGTACATTTTTCACCATCATTTGCTATATTATACTCCATCATTTTTTCGAAAATATGAAAGAAAATTCTTAGCAGTTTTTAGTGACAGTTTTGTCTTATCCGTATCCTGTGATAAACATAATAACAGCATCAATATCAAATCTTATACTAAATGAAAGCGCGTTAAGAATGGGATTTATCAGTATTAAATGGTAAGGGTTCTTCTAGTTTACGGGCAAAAAAACATACTTCAAATATTTAGAGAAGAATGGAAATGAATATTCAGATATTTAAAACTATTTTATATTTTTATCCGTCTCATCTTCGTGTTGTAACAAAAGCTAATGGTTGTCATACTGATTATTGATTATATTCATCAAGTTTAAACAAAATAAATATTACATTGTGATATTCACAATTTTAAATCGATATTTGATTTGAATTGCCGCATGAAAGAAATTTTTCTCTATCGATATGGCATAAAATTCTAGGAATTTCTTGAATTCGATACTGAAAAGTTGCCATAACCTTTACTATTTAATATTGATATATCCCATTGTCGACGCGCTTTCATTTAGTACAAGATTTGATATCGGCACTGTTTAAAATCACAGCTGCTTACCTCCGTGCAAAAACATTTTTGCGCACCCTATACTTCGGTAGATATCGTGGGAGTATAAATGAAAAGTTAAAAAAAAGCAAAATCTCGCCCATGATTCATGATAGATTTGAGCTCATAAAATTCGATTATAAAACGAATGTTACTCGCTCTCTGTATCAACCGTTCTATGTGATATAAGGTGCCAATTCTTTATAGATGAAAATCTTGAGAACAAAATTCTTGTATTTTCGTGTAGCTGTGATGTAGAGCTTGTCTATCAGACTGGTATTTTCCCATTCTTTTGTTTTCATGATGACTTGATAAAATAATTTGCTTATGTTGTTCTATTAGTTCGAAGAATCAAAGTATAAATCAAATAGAAAACACGTATGATTGAATCAATCGAAGAAGACAAGAAAAAATAATTCATGTTACGAAGTTGATGACTAAGCTGAATCTGATAGGTTAAGTAGATATATCGATAATGAATCTAATATGAACAAGAAAAATTCAGCTTGACTAAGTCGTGCGAAATTAATTATAAACTCTCAGGTATGAGAATGTTACTATAAAATAACATCGGAAATCTTCAAATTTTTGCATTATAAGTTGAATACTTGAACATTTCAGCGTCACAAAAATTCCAATATCAGGCATTTTTATAATTAAATTCCATTCTATCAATGAATTTTAGTTATCTCATAAACTTTCTTTGAAACGCTTGATGTTTCATCATGGTTGTCAGCAAACAACTTTTTATAATTAAATCAATTTCAAAAGAATAAATTATGTCTTTCTTTCTCAGGAGCATTGAAGAACGAATCTTAAAATTTCAAAAAACTAATCATCTTGCTTTGTGAGTGATAGTCTCGTCAATTTGAACATAAAACTAGAAGTCATCATTATTAGTGGCAAGCAATCCTGTATCGAAAAACTATGATAATGAAGTTAAATACATTTAAGAATCACCGGAAATCAGTAACAAATTGACGAAATCAGTAACAAATTGACGAAATCAGTTATGTTTGTCTTTTACAATTTCTCGAAGTACTAGCTTCAAGGGAATCTTCAAGGTATCAGTAAAAAGAATATTCGTACATCATTAATTGTCTAGTTGTCACTCTTACGTAACGTAGTGTGAATTGAGATTATAAACAATGTTGGTGATAAGTTCATGCAAAACAAGAGGTTTCAAGATTTGATTGAGTGTCCCAATAAGAAAATTCAATCTATTTAGGAGCTTTCGAGAAAAAAAAAGCAATAATATCTTACCCGTTATTCACTTCGACTTTTTTGATAAGCGCTGTTCACAGAGATAGGGAAAGAGAGAGACTTACTTGATAACAATGTTTCCTTGAGGTACAGTGGACGGAGAAGACCAATTCGCTTGAATTTGAGATTTCCTGGTTGATAATGTGTGAGTAACGCCATTTGAAGATGTACCATTGCAAGAAATAACTTGAACCAATGAATCAGTCGACGACCAACTACCCAAAATGTTTACGCCACTTGCATCTTTAGCAACCAGAAGAATACCTATAAAATAATTGGAGCTTGTTGCTCCTTGAACAGTAACTGACAAAAACAAGCGAATCGAAAAGACAATGATAGTTTGAATCACTCACTTTGAATAATGTCATTACTGCTGTATTGATACTTGCTTGCTTGAATTACATAATTCGACTGGCATGACTGTGAACTGGCTCCTCCATGAAAAGGCATCATTGAACCACAAATACGGGACGGTGCACCACTCGAAAGACTTTGAACAATTGAACATTCAAAGACAAGAAGTATAAATCGTTTAATGAACGTCTTCATCTAAAAGTTCATATACACATTACTAGGGTTTTATCATTGTTAATAAATCATTTTATTCGAAAATAAAACAACGATGATGTTTTTCTCTTTGAACTAAACATAAAACGACCACTGCAAAAATAATATATTTCAGATATTTTTCTAATCAAAGTGGAAAATATTAGATTGCAAGACAAACAAATTCAAATATAAGGAGGTATCACCTAATTTTCTGAAATACGATCTGAACCGATATTAAAGTATATAAGATAGAAATTTGGACCGCACATACACATATCGTGACATATGACTTCAGAAATCATCGCTGGCCATGATAGACGTTATTGAAATATCATTGAGGATGATATATCAATAAGATTTCATTAAAATATAAAAAATACTTACTTATCGCAGTGCTAAAGTAATATTTAAAAGGTTAAGAAGAAATATATCACAAAAGAGATCAAATAAAACAGTTTTCATGTGATTAGAGATAGCAATGACATCGTGTTTTACATTTTGATTCTTCAAGGATTGCACTAATAGATTTTCTCATAGACTTGATACCGAAAAATAAAGATCTGTAAACTATGTTCTCTAGAAAAGTAATATCATTCTATTGTTTTTACAAAAGAGGCTTTTCTTTTGTCATCTAACTATATTTCTTATGATCGTCTCTTGACCATAACTATGTGTCATTTATTAATGACCTGACTTCGTAGTGATCCTTCATCTCTATATTTTTCTAAGAAGATGAAGATTTCTGTGAAAAGATTCACATATTCTAGAAAAATCTACCCTGTGAATTGACGTAAACATTATTGGTAGGGTATATAATACAACATGCAGTTGGCAGAGGGTTTAAATTTGTGTCTTACTCGTTTTCTGTTTTCATCGGGATGATAAATAGTAATATAATTAACTTTTTACTTTCAAAAGTCTTCGCCGTAGATGATTGATTTGTTTTTGACAGCCACGCCTATTGTTTTTTTGAAAAGGATAATAGTATCGAAGTATAGAGGTAAAAATTTTAGCTCTCTTCTTGCAATGAATATATAGAAGAAGTTATGTAAACAACAAAACTATGGTCAAGTTTTCGATCAAACCCTTTTTAGCAAAGCTTATTAAAGAAAACGTAAATATTCACTTTTGTGCTGCATTTAATACCATATTACATGCTATGCTACTGGACAAACTAGAGTTCTGAGAAAATAGATTTGTCACTCAGCCGCCTACTGTGCTGTCTTTTCACAGACGTAGCAGACAACTTGAAAAGCATACATTACAGACCATGAAAGACACCTGAATAATGTCCACTCTTCTTTTATCGGAGAAGTTGAAGATGCTTGATCAACGCATCTTTATCCTCATACACTGTGGCAGATATCTTATTATTCCTGCTTGCTTCCTTTGAAACATGACCAGTCAACTTGCGCGACAAAGACCTATTACAGAACCTTTTTCTCTTCTTTTCTACTCTTTGTAGTATATCATGATTAACATTTGTTATGATCGACACACAACAACAGTAGCTGGTAATGTATAAATGAAAACATATTGATGGAATCTGTTTATTGCCATGATTACNTGGTTTTGTAGAGAATTTTAAGCGCTTTCTTTTGATAATTAAGACAGCTTTACTTACAGTGATAATAGACAGGAAATCTTAAAAATACTGGGAGGCTCATTATTCCTGGGACACCCGATAAAATAATAATAATTGTAAAGATGAAATTAAACTGAGACTTTTCAAGACAGAACGCGAACTGACAAACGGAATCAAAGAACATTATTCAAATGTGACTGATTCATGTCGATTGTCATGAAGGATACCAATGTATTCTTTTGTTAAAACATATGTCACTCAATGGACGAGTAATCGTGGTGTGTGGTTTGTATTTCATCTTCGATGTAGCATATTCAATTAGATTGTGTAGTTC